AAGTTCCCTGGAGCCTCGGCTGTGCTGTCTCAGGGAGACGGGTGCCTACCGTGTGTGAGGTTTGGGCAGAGGAAGGGCCTGGAATGACAGGCAGGCAGGAAAGCCACAGAAAAGTCTGAGCAACACGCATGCATGCACACGCACTCTCTTTCTCCATCTCTCTGTCTCTCTTTCTGTCTGTCTATCTCTCTGTGTGTCTCTGTGTGTCTCTCCTCTCTCTCTCTCTCTGTCTCTCCTCTCTCTCTTCCCTCTCTCCCCTCTTCCCTATCCCCTCTCCTCCCCTGCTCTCTCTCCCTCCCTCCCTCTCTCCCTCTCCCTCTCTCTCTCTCTCCTCTCTCTCTCTCTCTCTGTCTCTCTCTCTCTCCCCCCCCTCTTCTGTGGCCCTGTGGGGAACGAGGCTTGAGCCTGACCCAGCAAAGCAGGCATCTGGGGTTAGAGCTGCACGCAGGGATCAAGGTTTGAACTCTAAGAAAAGGAGTGGAGTGGAGAAGGGAGGCATGTGGGCAGAGACAGGAAGTGTGGACACACTGACTGACGGAGTGGAAGATACAGGAGAAGCTGCTATGGCCCTCTCCACCTTGGACCTGTGGGGAGACCGGCTTCCATCGCAGCCCCACAGGGAGCCAGGACGCCCGCCATCCATAGGGTACAGGGCTGTGGGCTAGTTTAGAGCAGCGACTTGGAAGGGACCTGCTGAAGAGCCGTGCTTTTTTTAATACGTGTGAGCGTCTTCATGTGTATCTGTGGGTTGGTCACATCCGATTCCCACGGAGGCCAGTAGAGGGCGCTGCAGCCCCTGGAACTGGAGTTACAGGTGGTTGTGAGCCACCATGTGGGTGCCGGAAATTGAAGCCAGGTCCTCTGCAAGAGCAGCCGGTGCTCTTAACCACGGAGAGGTCTCTCCAGCCCTGAGCTGGGGCTTTTTTTTTTTTTTTTTGGTTTTTCGAGACAGGGTTTCTCTGTGGCTTTGGAGGCTGTCCTGGAACTAGCTCTTGTAGACCAGGCTGGCCTCGAACTCACAGAGATCCTCCTGCCTCTGCCTCCCGAGTGCTGGGATTAAAGGCGTGCGCCACCAACGCCCAGCTTGGGGCTTTTATTTTAGGGAATGGGTTTCTTTGTTTTCTCTTTAGGCATTTTTTGAGCCATCTGGGTTGTCCCCAAGGGTTTCTTTCTAGTTCTGGAGATTAAACCCAGGGCCTCAAGAATGTAAAGCAAGTGCAACCCCTAGTACAGCCCCCACTCAGATTCTGGGCATAGTTGAGGATGACCTTGAACTCCTGATCCTCCTGCCTCCACCTCCCAACTGCTGTGATTACAGGCATGCGCACCATACACAGCCAGGTCCCGGTGTTTTCCACCCCTGCAGCCCCTAAGTAATTCTGATAGAGACGAAACAAGAGAGAGGGGTCTCCTGGGAAAGGGGCATTCTGGATAAAAATACCTGCACACAAGCCTGGTGCCCTGAGTTCAGTCCCCAGAACCGACGTAAAAATGGGAGGAATTAACTCATCAAGTTGTCCTGTGACCTCCATGTGCCTCTGTGACATGCACGTGTGCATGCACACACACACACATGCACAGACACACATACACACACACAGACACACATACACAAAAACAGACACAGACACACACACACAGAGGCACACATACGCAGACACACACATACAAATTCATACACATACACTGACACATACACAGACACACGGACACAGACACACGGACACACACACAGACACACACATACATATACACAGACACACACGGACACACACACACATACATACACAGACACACACGGAGACACACACACACAAATCAAGAAGGGAGACAGAGTCCTTTTACGAAACAGAGTCTGCACCCCATTATCTCCCAAGGTAAGGGCGGTTTTGGCTAAGGCCAGGTCACCCAAGGTTAGAGCTGTCCTCAGTTCTGGGGATCCTCGGGGAGCAGATGGCCCCACTTGGGTGAGCCCAGCTCCCTTTTCCCACATCCTTGTCTGCCGCCTGCTTCGTGCAGTCTCCAGAACCTTCTCGGGATCTTCAGGAAGCTTGGAAGATTTCCCAGGATGTAACTGCCAGGCTGAATCTCAGCCCAGGCTCCCTCTGCTCGGTACAGGAGGTGGAGCCTGGAGACCTCTCCCTTGGCTGCCTCTCCTGCAGGTGACTCTCCAAAAGGAGGTCAGCCTGTTTCCGCTGCCAGCTTGCCAGCCCACTCAGGACCCAGAGTCCCTCCCGGAACCACCATTCTGGGGCAGCTGATCTCATCCATCCGCCTGCCCCTGCCCCTCTGTCTCTCAGAAACCACAAATTTGACTTTTCGTCTCACACTGCCAAGTTCTTATCATGCCCCTGCCTCCGCAGCTCAGAAATGCAGGTCTTTCAGATATTTCCAGGCCGTTCGAAGCCAGGCAGGCTGGGCAGCAATTTGCAAGTCCGCTTCCCCACAAGCCCCAGGCCTCAGTGAGGGTTCTGCTCTTCCAGCAACTCTTACGACTTTCTGAGACAGGCTACACTCTGTATAACCTGGCTGTCCTGGAACTCACTCTGTAGACCAGGCTGGCCTCGAACTCACAGAGATCCGCTGCTTCTGCCTCCCGAGGGCTGGGAGTCACTATACCTGGCTCTCTGGCAGGCTGAACACTTGTGACCCTTACTAGGGAGTCCAGGCCAGAGTATAAATCACTTTTGCATACCAGCATCCATAGAACCACCACCGAGAACCACACACAGAGAAAGACCCTAATAAGTGCCTAGGGGAAAAAAAAAATAAGTGCCTAGGAGACTTATTGTCTCACAGGACAATTAAGGCCAGCAGTCTCACCCCTCCTACGATACATACCAGTCACAGTCACGTGTTAGCGAATACATCCCCGTCACCCTCCCCACCTGACAGCAGACATGCCCTCAGCTCCCCAGTCTTCCGGCCCAATCCCAGCGACCACACTCAGCCACGCTGCTGCGTCTTGGATCATAAGCACACCGAAAAGACCCCTGTGTGGAAGGCATGAGTCCTCAGTGTGGCGTCCAGAGGCGGGAGCTAGGGTGCAACTCAGCCGGTAGGATGCTCACCCAGCATCCGGGAAGCCTCGCCTCCACCCCCAGCATCCGGCAAGCCAGGTGTGAGCGTGCACACCCGTTATCTCATCACTCACGTGGGGGCAGAAGGAACGGAAGAGCGAGATCATTCCTTTGAGATATAGTTCCATGGCAAGGCGGGTTTCCGAGGCCACGTCTCTAGGGAAAGCTTTTAGGATGTGACTGGGTCATGAAGGGGCTGAAGGCATCTGTGGATTGCTCCACTAATGGATTCACAATAATGGTGTAGGGGTAGGAGTGGGCACCATAGCTCTTAGAGCCTGGCTGGAGGACGTGGGGATGTGTGATTTGGTATCGTATACCTGGCCTCTTCCTCTGTGGTGTGCGTGCGTGTGCACGCCCGTGCGTCAGTCTATGATAGTGTCTGCTTCCTGGGTGCCATGAGCCGAGAAGTCTGTGTCACCACAGGTCTGCAGCTACTAAGCCAAGCACCGTGGGCAGAAGCCTTCGCAGCTGTGAGCCGAAAGGAACCCTCTAAAATCTTCAAGTTGATTTGCCTAGGTATTTTGGGTAGATCCAAAAGCTTACAGGACTCTAGATGGGGATGTAGGTTGGCTGTAGAGCCCCCCTGCCTAGAATCCCCGCTGGGGTGTGGCTCAGTGGTAGAGCCCCTGCCTAGAATCCCCCAGTGAGGGATTGGGGGCGTGGCTCAGTGGTTGAGCCCCTGCCTAGAATCCCCCAGTGAGGAGCTGGGGTGTGGCTTAGTGGTAGAGAATTTGTCTAGCATGAAGCTCAATATTTAGTCCCCTGGGGGAAAGCAATATCCCTCCCCCTCAGATGCCTGAGACAGCTGAAGACTAAGAGGCACCATCTAGGCTACTGAGGGGTCCACCTGCCTGTCTCTCCTCACTCTCCGAGAGCATTGCATGACCCTCATTGCCGGTCTCCCGTGACTCACAGAGGGAAGCCCAGACCTTGTGCCTCCTCCCACCCTTGACCCCTGCTATCAGGGCAACCTCAAGATGCCCCAGTGCCCCCTCCTCCATCTCCGTGAGTCCCCGGAGCCATTAACTCTCTCCAGAAAGTCTTTGGGGTGCGATTCTGGAGCTATCAGCATGGGACAAGAGAATGAGCACTTAGGACAAGGAGTAGGGGTGCAATGCTTGGAACTGGGCCAGTTCCATGCCCAACACCAGATTATAGTGTAGAGTTCCTCAGAAGGTCCTCCCTCCCTCTCTCTCACACACACTCACACACGCTCTCTCTCTCCCTCTCTCTCTCTCCCTCTCTCTGTCTCTCCCTCTCTCTCTCTCCCTCTCTGTCTCTGTCTCTCTCTCTCTCCCTCTCTGTCTCTCTCCCTCTCTCTGTCTCTCTCTCCCTCTCTGTCTGTCTCTCTGTCTCTATTTCTCTCTCTCTCTGTCTCTCTCTCCCCCCCTCTCTCTCTCACACACACACACACACATGCTCTCTCCCTCCCTCTCTCTCTCTCTCCCTCTCTCTCCCTCTCTCCCTCTCTCTCTCCGTCTCTCTCTCTCTCTCTCTCTCTCTCTCACACACACACACACACACACACACACGCTCTCTCTCTCTCTCTCTCTCTCTCTCCCTCTCTCTCTCCGTCTCTCTCTCTCTCTCTCTCTCTCACACACACACACACACACACACGCTCTCTCTCTCTCTCTCTCTCTCTCTCTCTCTCTCTCTCTCACACACACACACACACACACACACACACACACACAGCCTCCCCGGTAACTGACAGCTCCTACCTTGTCCTCACCCCTCCGCCCCTCATCCTCCCTGACCTTAGGGTCAAGTGTTACCACACTCAGCATTTACTCCCTAGACCCAGGCCAGTCTCTGTGTCTCCATAACACCCTTCACACCCAGCCTGCGGACCCGTCACCCGCCCACCTCAGGCCCAGCCGCCGCAGCCCCCGGTTCGATCACAGGAGCCGTGGCTGGTTGATGTTGGTTTTTGTTTAAGGGCTTGGCTCCCGGGTGAGGGTGAGGCTGAGGCGGGGCAGGATGGGGGATGGGGGGGCTGCGCGTTTATTTGTCTTCAGACAAATCGCGCCTCTTCCAGCTGTCAAGAATGTACTTGAGGACGAGGCCGAGCTTCCTGCGTGTGGACAGCGGGGCTTCCTCGCTGGTTCCCTCCCCGGAGACCCGCTTTTCCACGCCACCGTCACCGGCCGCCTCCAGGCTCAACTCGGCCTGGTGCTCGTCTTCCTCCAGGGCCTTGATGCGGACGCGTTGAGCGTCCTCGGCCATCTCATTGAGACAGCCCTGGAGCATGGTGTAGACTGTGCCGAAGCTGATGCCCCCGGCCACCAGCGTGCCGAACACAGGGATGCCTCTCTCGAAGGCCCGGGCCACCCGCATGGCGCCATCCGAGGACTGCGAGTAGAGTCGCAGGACGGTCTCCGGGGAGACCTCGTTGGCCAGAGGGGAGCGGATGACGGAGCGCAGGTCCCCTGCCTGCTTGCCCACCTGCTCGGCCAGCTTGGCCAGCGAGTCGTCGTCGAGGCCGAAGCTGCGGTGGTAGCCACGCAGGGAGCGGATGAGCAGGGCGTCATCGTAGGCGGCTGCCAGTCCCGGGACGGGCAGGGCCTGGATGACCCCGGACACCAGGGCGGTCTTGAGCACCTGCTCCTGCAGCATGTCCTTTTTCTTCTGCAGAGCCTCCAGCGAGATGTCGGGCAGGGACAGCAGGCCGGCGTGGCGGCGGTGGGCGGGCAGGTCGTGCTCCCAGGTGGACACGAGCATCGGGAAGTCGTAGCGGGCTGGCGACAGGTTGGACACCAGGAAGATGCGGGGGTCGTTGACCCCGGCTGCCCGCAGCCGCTCGGCGCAATGGTCCCGGATCTCCTGGAGGACCGCGGTCTCGCTGAAGCCCGAGGGCCGCTGGCTGCGGGTGGCCGCCAGGTCCTCGTCCACCTTGGTGCGCACGAAGTAGAACTTCTTCCCCTGGCGCAGGATCTCCGAGGCCAGGCGGGTCTCCACGGCGCCGCAGCGGCGAGGGGACACGAGCAGGAAGAAGTCGTAGCGGCCGAAGTCCACCTGCTTCAGGTACTTGTCTGCTGAGCAGCCCGGAGAACCGGCCCCCGGCAGGTCCCACAGGGTCACGTCGGGAAACTGTGGGTGCGGGTAAGGCGACGGCTGCATGGTGGTCTCCACCACCCCGGTGAGAGCGGCGCCCGGATCCTCGGCTCCCAGGCCACGCAGGGCATTGATGAGCGAGGACTTGCCAGCTCCCGACTCGCCCGTGACGCCCACCTCTAGCCTGGTGCTCTCCGAGTTGGCCAGCAGCTCCCGGAGGCGAGAGGCCGCCTGAGGGATGTCGCCAGACTCGAAGGCAGAGCGCAGGGCCTCAAGCTCTTCCTTGGCCATGAGGATGGTGGTCTCCTCCTCAGGCACCGCGGGCAACCTGGAAGCTGCCATGCTTCAGAGCTGGACGGGAAGATGGGGGACAGTCGTCACGGGATGAGTGACCACTCAGCGTCTGCAGGGGAGAAGGGGAGCTGTTCGTGGGCCATGCCCTCCTACAGATGTGGAAGAGGTGGAAACTCTCGTCGCCACCGGCTCCCTCTTCCTCCAGAACCGGGGTGCCCTGGCTCTCACCTGCAATCTAACACTGGGGGGCTTGAGGCAGGAGGATCACCATGAGTTCCGGGTGCAGTCCCCCGGGTGCAGTGACACACACCCTTAATTTTAATACTGGGAGGCTGAGGCGGACAGATTTACATGAGTTCAAGGCCAGCCTGTTCTATATAGAGAGTTCCAGGCCAGCCAGGGCTTCATAGTGAAACTCTGTCTCAAAACAAAACAAAACAAAAACAAGCAAAAAAGCAGCCAATAGGCCGGGCGGTGGTGACGCACGCCTTTAATCCCAGCACTCGGGAGGCAGAGGCAGGAGGATCTCTGTGAGTTCGAGGCCGGGCTGGACCGACAGCCTCCAAAACAATACAGAGAAACCCTGTCTCGTAAAAACAAACAAACAAACAAAAAAAAAAAAGCAGCCAATAACAAGCCAGGTGTGGTCACTCACACGTGTGGTGCCAGCGTTAGGGCACTGGGGTAGGAGGGATCTCTTGAAGGGCACCCTCAAGGGAGAGTTGAAGGCTAGCCTGGGCTACATGTAACCGTGCCTCAAAACAAGGACCCAGACCCATTTAGCATGAGTTAAAGGACTCTGGAGTGTCTCAGGCCCAGGCCACTTTCCACCTGGCCTACTGACTTCCTTGTGACCTGGGACTAAATGGACATCACTCTGGGCCCGTTTGCACAGAGTGCGGCGGCTGATGGGCATAATAACCAAATAGCCCATGGAGACACCGTCAGGGGTCCGTGAGTACCCCAGGAAGGACAACTCTGACTTGTGCCCTGTGCCCAGAGTGAGGCTGGATGGCCCTCGAAGACCAAAACCTGGCAGTTCCTTACAATATCCGGGTTGAAAGCCGGGCGGTGGTGGCGCACGCCTTTAAACCCAACACTCGGGAGGCAGAGGCAGGCGGATCTCTGTGAGTTCGAGGCCGGGCTGGACCGACAGCCTCCAAAACAATACAGAGAAACCCTGTCTCATAAAAACAAAAATAAATAAATAAATAATATCGGGGTTGAGACAGAGCCTTCCAGGCCTCCCACCCTGGGTAGCAGGGCCCGGCCGTGGCTCTGGCCAGGCTGGAGGGCCACGGCTTTCCAACTGCTGTGGTCACCGGAGCCAGCGTGAGGCCATGGGGTCACCTCTGCCACACACCGGCCCAGCGCTGCCTGGCTCTCCTCACCTGTGAGGTGTGGCTGTGATCGTCCTCACGACAGGATGCCTCCTGAGAGGGGGAGGCTCCAGCGGGCTGTGGCCTTAGCAAAACCACGCCGGCCTTTTTTTTTTAAAGACAGGCTCTGGCTTTGTAGCCCAGGTTAGCCTCTGACTCACAGCAGCACTCTCTCTCACTTTAGCCTCCCAAGGACTGGGCATGCAAGAGCGCCCCTCCCCCACTCCCCATCCCCCACCCCCAATCCCCCCACCCGCAATGCCTGGCTAGGCTGTGTCCCCCTGAGCCCTGCCTGCCTGCCTGCTCTGAGTCACCCTCCAAGGCCTCTTGGGCCGCTCCTAGGCCTACCTATGTCAGCACGGCACCGCCAGTCAACAGTGGAGACATTTTCCAGTCAGCCTGTAGGCTCCCATTCGACCCCACCCTGGCCATGGCGGCCTCGCCAGGCCCACTCTCTCTGGTCTCCTCGGACATCCTGACACCTTGCTGATGATGTCTCTCCATATCCCTACCCTGGTGACACCCACCTCTCCCTCTCTCCATTAGTGATCCAAGTGGCTGGCCCACGACCTCAGAAATCCAGCCACTCACCCAGATGTGGTGGCAAACAGCTGTAGTCCTAGCACTTAGGAGGCTGAGTCAGGGAAGTTACCATGAGTTCAAGGCCAGCCTGGGCTACAGACTAAGGCCCCGTCTCAGACAAACAAGCAACCTCCCCCCTGACCTCCCCCCAAAACCAAACCCCTCCGGATAAATAATAAAAGCTCTTGCTTGCAGAGAGACACTCTTCATCTGGCAGGGAGAGCGACCTAGCCTCAGGTAGCACAAGGGGCGTCTCCCGCTCAGGGGCACGGCTGGGTTCCTAGTCTGGGTCCATGGGCTCCTTCGCCCCCTCCCCCTCTGCCACAGGCCCCTTTTTCTTGTACCCCTACCCCTTCCTCTGCTGCCCACCCCATGCTCTGGCCTTGCTGCCCTTCCCAGGGCCCCTCCCTCCCTCACCTACCTCAGGTGGGACCTGGGACAGGTCCTAGCAGCCAGAGGCAGAAGAGTCGTCAGTGGTGATGGGGTTCGATGGGGACTTTTGGAAGCTCGGGTTTCTGTGCACTGGCCAGCAGGGCCCAGCTGGAGAGCCCGGCCCCTCAGGGACTCACCTGACCTGCAGGCTCTCCCCTCTCCCTCACACTCTCCCTGCTGGCAGGGTCTCCACCCACGGTAGCCCAAGATAGCAACTGTTGCTAGGGCCCATTATAACAGTGAGCCTCAGTCCATTGGTCAGCGGGCGCCAGCCAATAATGAGCCGATGACATCAGAGGGCAGGGCCCCAGGGAGCCCAGGCTCCAACCCCAGATCCACCTCGGCCACCATGGGGGGCTGCTGGGTTCGGAGCCCCCTGTGGGACGAGGACGGGGCTCGGTGGATGGAGGGTTTGGCTAACATGACGAAGCCCTGGGGCTCGCCCTCAGCACCAAACGCACCCAGCGTGGCGGCACACAGCCGGTAAACCAGCACTCAGTAGTTAGAGGCAGAAGGGTCAGAGGTCAAGGCCATCCTTGCCTACATAGCAAGTTTTGAGGCTAGCCTGGGTTTCAGGAAAACCTATAAAATAAATAAACAAACCACCCCAAGTTAACCAGAGAAACTCTGTGGTCTCCGTCACCCCAGGACAAAGCCCTAAGTAACTAGGTTAGACATCTGGGCCTCTGGCCTTGTTGCCCACCCTGCAACCCAGGGAACTCTCCAGCAGCCTGTCATCACTGGTCCCTGCAGCCCTCGGGTGTCACACGTGCTCTGGGGCAGAGGCCGGGTGGGGTCAGCTCGGCAGCACTGGCTGGACAGGAGGAAATGGGCGATGGATTTCCACGGTGCCTGGGATCCCAGCGCTGGGGCAGTCAGTCCCGTGTTCAAGGACAGCCTCCCCCACATAGCCAGCTGGAGGCCAATCTGGACTACATGAGACCTTGTCTCAGAACACACACACACACAGACATACACATCATACACATATACACATACACATCATACACACACATACACCACACATCATACACACACATACACATCATACACATCATACACACACACACCATACACACACACATCATACACATACACACACACATTATACACACACACATACACCACACACCATACACATCATACAAACACATACACCACACATCATACACACACATACACATCATACACATCATACACACACACACCATACACACACACACACATCATACACATACACACACACATTATACACACACATACACCACACATCATACACACACATATACACCACACATCATACAAACACATACACATCATACACACACACACCACACACACACACAGGCACACACACACACACACACACACACACGCCACACACACACACACAACACACACACAGCTTGACCCCTGGTCCCAGCTCTACCACCTGCAGACCACGGTGGCTCTGGATGGAGGCCACCAGAGAGGGCACTGAGGCCGCCTTCCTCCTCCTTTCTCTAGAACATGTTTTGTCCAATGACCCACCCGGCCCCCACCTGTCAGTCTTCACCCAGGGGCAAGTTCGAGGCCAGCCTGGGCCCCATGAGACCCTGTGTGGAAACAAGCTAAGAGAGAGTGGAGAGCCGTGAGTCGGGGGATGGGCTGAGGCAAGGGCTGCTCCTGTGGGAGGGGCCTGAGGGGGGAGCAGGGGCTCCAAGAAAGAAGCAGGCGAGAAGAAATGGAATGGACGCCAGAGCCGCCAGACTCAGAGGATGGACAGGCTCGGAGCCTGCGGCCTCACAGGACGTGGTGAAAGACAGAGATGGGGGAGACTCCGTGACAAAGTGCTTGCCTGGCGTGCCCAAGCCCTGGGCTCCATCCCTAGCACTCTGAAGAGAAGAGGGGAGAGAAAGGTCTAATCTAGGTGGCTGCTTGAACAGCTGAGGCCGGAGGATCGCCATCTCCAAGCCAGTTGACTGAGCGAAGTCAAGGTCAGCCTGGGCGACTGGCTCACACCCGTCGCCAGGTAGAAAGGGCAGCAGCAGCTGGGCTGGATGGCTCGCACCTGGGGTCCCAGCAGCACTCGGCGGTAGAGGCAAGAGAACAGAATCCAGAGCCAGCCTCAGCTACAGAGTAAGTTCCGGGTCAGGCCGGGCTAACACGACACCCCGCCTCAAAGAAAACAACCAACAGTTAATTAAAACGAATATTAAAGACAGGACTGGCAGGGTGAGCCCAACACATGGAAGTCCTGTGTATATGTCAATAAAGCACTGTTGGCCAATAGGGAAGCAAGAGAGGTGGGACTAGGAGTCTAGGAGGATTCTGGGAAATGTAGTCAAGGAGCCATCGCCATGTGATTCCCGGGAAGAGGGGAGGCAAGTCTGCGTTCTCGGAAAGACAAGTCCTTATAAAAATATATATTGGTGATTATGGGTCAATAATAAGTCATAGCTAGCCAATGAGAAACAATAGCGAATGGCCAGCAGCTTATAATTAATATAGTGTCCTGTGTGTTATTTGGGGGTTCAGACAGCTCAGCAGGGCCCAGGCGGCTGGCGGGGAAGACACGTTACACCTAGGTTCCGTTCCTGATACCACGAAAAACAGGTGGGGCTGAGACCCCCGCAGGTAAGCACCAAGGCACCCAGTGCATGGGGTCTCGGGACTCCAGCTAATGCTGCAGCTGCTCTGCTCTCTGTCCTGGGCGCCTATCCGCCCCGCCCCCTCCTTCCCAGCCAGGCTGGGAAGTGCCTTCCTCCAGGGGTGAGGACAGATGCCCCGGAGGGACAGATTGGCCGGAGCTAGAGCAGGAGTGGCCGATGCCCACCCTGTCCAACATTTCCAAACCGCGGGCAGCAGCTGCGTACTCCGTGGGATCCTGCTGACTGGCAAACCTCGGAGACAGAGTCAAAAATAGTCTCAGACGTTCCCCGACACTGAGCAGACTTGGCACATCCCCAAGACTCCTTCCCCAAACTCACAGACACGTGGAAGGCCCACGAGGGAAAGGAGAGGCTCTGGAAGACCAGCAAAGACAGGACCATCAAGCAGATCTGCAGACACGAGCCACGGGGCTGCAGAGACGGCTCTGAGGTCAAGAGCACTGGCTGCTCTTACAGGGGACTCAGGTTCGGTTCCCAGGGTCCTTGTGGCAGCTCTGTATCTCCAGGTCCAGTGGGTCTGACCTCCATGAACACCCCCCAAACACCTGGAGCACATGCATGCTTGCACACTCCCCAAACACCTGGAGCACATGCATGCGTGCAGGCAAAACACCCATACACATAAAATAATAAAAATGCAAACAAAAGTCCTTTTAAAAGTCAAAAAAATAAAATTTAAAAAGCTAAACAGGAGTTGGGGGACTTAGATCAGAGATAGGCACTGACTTAGCAAGTGTGAGGGTCTGAAATCAAGCACTAGGAAACACATACATGGGCACACTTGCACACACCACACACACACACACATGTAAACACATACATGGGCATACATGCACACACCACACACATGTAGAGAGCTGCGAAGTGCCGCACCCTTAAGATGGCGCTGGCTTCCGCCTTCTGCTAGCCCGACAGCAAGTGCTCTCTGTGATAAACACCTCCTTATTTGGTCAAGGCTGGATATCAGGCTTGCTTCCGTGTATGTGGACCTATCTGCTTACCGGGGTTGGCCGCCCAAGGGCCTTTTTAAGCTGTGGGCGGGCACTCCCCAGGGTCAGAAGATTGTTCAAGGTTCCTGAATAAACTGCTTAAAGAAGAGTCTGAGCGTTGCGTCTTCCTTGGTGGTGGAGGCAGGTGCGACACACATACACATGTAAAGAAGAAGAGGGACGAACTGGGCGTTGGTGGCACACGCCTTTAATCCCAGCACTCAGGAGGCAGAGGCAGGAGGATCTCTGTGAGTTCGAGGACAGCCTGGTCTACAGAGGGAGTTCCAGGACAGTCAGGGCTACACAGAGAAATCCTGCCTTGAACACCCCCCCCAAAAAAGAAAAACCCTGTCTCAAAAAAATTAATAAAAAATGGCCAGCTTACTGGATAAAGGTTCTGCTGACATGACAGATAACCTGGATTTGATCCCACAAGATAGAGAAAACTGATTCCCACTGACTTCTCCATGTGCACCCTGGCAACACACATATATACACACACACACACACACATGCACACACACACATACACGCACACACACATGCGCGCGCGCACACGAACACACACACACTTCACACATGAGCACAGACAATAAGAATGTAATTTTTTTCAGCTGGAGCACACCTTTAGTCCCAGCACTGGGGAGGCAGAGGCAGGCCGATTCTCTGTGTGTTCGAGGCCAGCCTGGTCTACAGAGCTAACTCCAGATCAGGCTTCAGAGTTACACAAAGAAACCCTGGCTTGAAAAACAGACCAAACAAAGACTATAACTTTTAAAAAGAAGAAACATACAAACAAGATCAGCCTGACGCTCACACCTGTCACCCGGGCACTTGGGAGATGGGGCAGGGGGGCCCTGGGACAACTGGCCAGTCCCTTCAGCCCATTTTTCAAGCTCAGGCAGCTACTCCCAGCTTGGGCGTGGGTGTTGAGATCTGAGCCCCAGGCCTCATGCTTCCATAGCAAAGACCCTTATCCTGTCATCTCCCCGGCCCACATTTAAACTATGTCTATGTAGTTTTTTAAGAGCTCAACATTAGAGTGAGTGATTAGCATGCGGGAGGCCTTGGGTTCCATCCTCAGCACCAGAAAGAGGGAAGGAAGGGAGGGGGGGAAGAGGAGGAGGGAAGAGGAGGAGGAGGAACTGAGTCTAGGGGGACGATAGAGACAGATAGGAGTGACATTTATTCATCCCTTCCTTCCACACGTAATCAAACGTGGGGTGCCTGCGGTTGTCGGACATGTCCTTTCTTGATCCCGCTGACAAAGAAAAAAATAATGCTGCCAATAAAACCACAACTTGACATTTCCTTATCACTTCAAATGTTTATTCCAGGACAGCTGAAAGAGCTCCCGGAACTTACTTAGAAAGCACAGATCTTATCACACATGAGTCCTGCGTATATAAAAATAGAGAGTGGTGCACGCGAGTCACACCAGCCCTCAGGAGGCGGAGATGGGAGGCTACGAGGCCAGTCTGGGCTACACAGTGGTGGATAAGCACTCGGGAGGCAGAGGCGGGCGGATCTCTGTGAGTTCGAGACCAGCCTGGTCTACAGAGTGAGTTCCA